TAGGTGGCGCAAGCTACCGCCCGCTACGAAGGGTATAGCCAGTAACATCCACCCTCCATCCACGTTTTTTGGCTTTTAGGCTAGGGGGCGCAAGCTACCGCCCGTTATAAAGGGTACATCCATTAGCATTCATCCATCCGTCCGGTCAGAATCACCATTGAGTTATTATAATATACGCTAGAGGTTTAACTGGCGCTAGTGTTTATGCGACTTCCATGACGAAAATTGAAGCAGACAGCAACCAGTCTACTTTTGCGGTGCTTCTGTGCATTCCTATGAAAAACGAGCGTGCATTTTGTCTCTTCGCCGGAAAATAACACGGAACACTTTGGTTATTTGGGTCGTATCGAATAGTATGTACCTTGATTAACATTGTAGAAATGTAACTGCTTTAGTTAGAGCATTTTTCTTCATCGATGAAGGATGTTTAACTTCGCTACATTTCAGTCCCAAACGTGTGTTCTGCAGCAGGTGTGTAAAAACAAGCGACGATTCAAAGCAAAATTGCAATCGAAAGGAATACAGAGTGTGTTCAAGGCTCGCCAGCACTCTGGCGACGCTTATATATTGATAATATGCCAGTCCTGTCGCTATATGAAAATGACCCCGTCGTGCATGAGCGGATAAAAACATTCAAATAAATAATAAAGTACGTGGGCTATGAAAGGTGTCTCTTCGTATTGTTTTCTCTGCCGGGCAGCTTTTATACGGCACTTGTTCTCGAAGATTTCGAGCGCGCAGTGTTTTGAATGCAGGACAAACTTCGCACATATTCACGAGCAGAAAGAATAAAGCGGTACTTATTTAAAATCGGAATATATTACGTGGCCCTCAATTTATTTCGATCGTACTCATCCAGTGTTACCCCCCATTCACACTGGAAGCGGATCCGCGTTCGCGAAGCGGTTGCGAACGCGGTTGTATAAAGATCCAGTGCAATTGCACGCGCATTTGATGTCATCAAATGCGCGTGCAATTGTACTGAATCCTTATACAACCGCGTTCGCAACCGCTTTGCGAACGCGCATCCGCTTCCAGTGTGAATGAGCCCTTACTGCGTAGTTCTTGCCGTCTCCCTTAATTTCCAGATGTCCTTCGTTCGTTTGGCACGTGTATCCCTCATGCTTAAAAGCGCCGACGACGTGTTCGCGCTAACATTGTCCGACAGTGCAAACACGTTTTTAATTCGATGAATTTGAAAGATAAACGCCGTAACTGACCGAATATTTCATCGGCCTGACTGAGAAATGTTACAAGCTACCTAGTACATACAAATTATTCGGGATATTTGCTCTCATGATCAATCGCAGGGAGAAAATGCACTCACTCTTTCCCATAGAAATGCATTACCGGAAGTCAATTTTGGACTGGTTGCTGTCTGCTTTAATTTTCGTCAGCACGCTAGCTTCGCTTGAACCTCTAGCGTACATTATAATAACTCTATCGGAATCACTCACTGATCTCTATGAGAATTGCTGGATCGCACTTCCCCACTTCAGCCCCGCTTGTCCGCTGCACCGCGAGTGAAGCCACCGGACGGCCATCTTGCTCGTAGGCGATTTGCGGTTTAGCTAGCGCTGCAGAGGGGTGCGGCAGCGTGTTATAGACATGCTTTCTACTCGTTCATTGTCATTCGCCGAAGAAGTTTTTTAAGACAATCTATAACCGTTGAGACTCTCCGTTGTAAATACGTGGAAAATTTTATGAAAGCGCAGTACCGCAGAAAAGAGGCACAACTCGTCGAAAGCAAGTTTCGCTGGTCTCGCGGCGGGGTCGAAGCTTCCTTGGCACGCCGAAGTGCTGCGTCCCTGTGCGTTCGCACGCTTGGATACCGATCAAGATTCGCTTCGGCGCCGAGTAGATATGTTTTGCGAGTGCAATGTGCGTGAAGCCGTATGTGAATACCTCTGGGCAGTGTTTTACTTTTACTCTGAGTACTGGATTTGTAAGTTGCGGCACCTGCTCTCCAGAAATGAGCTTGATCCAGTGTCCAGTGGCGACGAACACGGGGGGGGGGGGGGGGGGGGGGGGAAGGGGAAGGGGGCGGCATCAGCGGCAAGTTTTTTTGTTTTGTTTACTAGACGCTTATGGCAATCAAATAAGTAGTACAAAGTCTTTATTTATTTTTTTGTGACTTTTTCCTGCTGCACTACGGTTTCGTGAATCTTTCCACGTGTTCTCAACGGCAAGTCGCAACCCTTAAACAGGCTCTTAAAAATCTTCTCCGACGAATGACGACGAACGAGTAGAAAACGTGTCTTCGGTACGCTGCCGCCAGCCTCTGTAGCGCTAGCAAAAACGCAAATCCTCTACGAGCAAGATGGCCGTCCGGTGGCTTTACTCGCGGGAGCGGGAAGCGCGATCCAGCAATTGTTATTGAGATCTGTGGTCGGAATTATTTTTTTCGCGCTTCTTTCGTGTCTGGCGCTGTGCTTTTTCAATACACTGTACGCCGCCGAAAAAAAAGTTTTAAGGTTGGTTTATTCATTTGCGTTTACATTTGCCTTTGACGCTGGCTGACATGCTTACGACTAGGGGTGTCGCGAACCGGTCGAGGTTCGAGTTCGACAAGGTTCGACTTTTTTTAACTTCTCGTGAAAAGTTCGACAAAGGATTGACTCAGGTTCGACTGCTATGCGCATGCGTGACAGGCTGGCAAGTTGGCTTCGGATTGGATGGTGATGACCAAGGCATGCATTAAGGGCAGCACTGATTGGTTATTTCAGTTAATATAGTACAAAAAGTGAAGTTATTAACTTCTTCAATGATTAGAATTAGTTTCTTTAAATTGCAACTGCTCATGGAGTTAAATTAACCCTTTGCGTAAAAAAACAACAACAACAACAACAACAAAAAGTTCCACATCTAGACATGCTTGTATCAAGGTCTTGCCACACTGTCCAGAAAGTCGAACCGGTCGGATCTGGTTAAAAGGTCGAAGGTTCGTCGAACCAGTTCGACCCAGTCGACCCCGAAACTTCGACCTAAAAATCCGGTTCGACAAAAGTTCGCGACACCCCTACTTACGACGAAAGAACACCAGAGTGTGCCAGAGAGCCTGTATTACAGAGAGTTTCCAACTTCTCGATCGGGGTCACATGGTTTATACGCAGCGGGTGCAATGCAAGCTGCGAGGAGGGGATCGAACACGTCGATCGTCTGCGAGCGTCTCCGCATTTCCGCCTGCTTTCCTCCCCGCAACGGGACAACACGCGGATGTGCATTGACGTCCAGTCGACGCGGGAGGTGACCGCCATTAAATTGCAAACCTTGCCTATGGTTTGAGACGGACCCTCTCTACAATCACAATAGCACGCTGGCGCCGTCTATCCGATCTGTGTATGAGACTGAAGGTTTCGCAATGTTTGCAAGATGAAATCTACGTACTATCTAAAAGATATAGCCGTTATAACTTATAAGATTGTAAAAATTAAATTTTAAGCTAAAAAAAAATGGTTGCCAAAAAAAAAAAAAGAAAAACACAGATCTAGAGTGTTTCAGGACTATCCGATAGATGGCGCTAGTGTGTGTCAACTCATCATTAGCGGTCACCGGTCACAAGCGTTCGTAACGCTGTGGGTACTGTCAAATGCAAATTGTGAACCAGCTTTTAATTGCCGTTTGTTCTAGCTTGGTAACTCATTATTATTATTATTATTTTTTTTTGCAGAGAAATGCGCATTTGAATTTACATGAATTTACAGCTTTGCTTTGTTCTGGCGGAAGAAAGTCAAAGTCGCTTCTGCTCTCTCTCTCTCTCTCCTCCCCCCCTTTTCTCTTTTTTTCGTTTTTCTCTCGTGTGTTCGGGTTTGCATGTCTACTTCAACTGGCATTTAAGCTTTCAGCAATCACAATTGCTCACATTTCTGCAGAAACAGGTCTAAACTCTTCAGCATTTATAGCACGTGACCTGGAACTTGAAGAAACAGTTTAGCGAACATTCCTGAAGAAAGGGTGTGTGACTTCCCCGAGTTTGAACTAAAACAATCAAAAACAAATAAGTAATTGTGCTGTGAAATTTATAGAGAGAAAAGTGCAGCTGAACGATTCAAATCAGAATGGCGTAATTTTTATTTTATGTTTTTATCTCAAACCGGCCAATGCATTGCGGCGAGAGATTTTGAATAGCAGCGCAGTTTTCATTCGTTCGTTAACCTGATCCTGAATTACCGATGGCAGTACCTCTGCTAAAGTACTTCACATCTGGACTTAGATTGTCACCTGTCTTTCTCTCATTTTGAAGAAATTGAAGAAAAACAGACAAAAACACGCCGATATTGACGGTGTTTCCAGACAGTGTTTTGCTGCTAACAAAATATTGAAGTCAATCTAACCTTATTTGGATTCACTTCGATTCGTACTGCAATGACCTGTCCGGGTAAGTGAATAAACATTAGTAAATAGAAATAGCAGGACGAGCGGCGATGTCTATATCATTTTATTTCGTGCACTTGTCCATTTTCTTTATGTTACACGTATTTCGAAATTCAATCAGAGCCTTTGACGCCGCCGTTAATGCGCGCGTAATACATTTGAGAAGATCGACATCATTCAAAGATTATCGTTGTACGGTAGTGCAGCCACTAACGGTTGCAGCCAGCCAAGATTGAGCTCGAGACGCGCGCAGCAGCCCTTTATAATTGATTTCGCTCCTTTCAGCCAAGGAGTTGAAAAGTCTGGCAACAGCGTTCAAGCTTGGGCGCGTAGTTTCGTTTTCGAGGTTTCGTCTGCCAATGTCGTTACACTTTTAAATCGGATAAAAATTGATTTTTTTTGTTTGTTTTACGTATGGTATTCAATATTATATTGTAGTTTAATCTATTTTTATAATCTATAACTCGCTTTTTGTTGTTATGGAATGCAATCAAAGTGAAGCAAAATCATAATCTTACCGTCTGCTATCACAGAGAGTTTTCTACTTTTGTGGCGTCGGCAGGGACGTTTGTATTACGTGAATAACCTCAAGTTTTGCGTCCTACTCACGAAAGTAACTGTCCGAAATGGGTGACCAAGTTGTCGAGGAGGCATTGGCGTTGGACGTCGACAACGACGAGGAATTCTTCCAAGACATTGACATGCTTCAAAACCATGGCATCAACGTCGCCGACATCAAAAAGCTCAAGACGGCCGGCATATGCACCGTAAGAGGGGTACAGATGACTACACGAAAGAAGCTCTGCGCCATCAAGGGCATCTCGGAGGCCAAAGTGGATAAGATCAAAGAAGTCGTGGCCAAAATTGCCGACGGTGGCGGCTTCCTGACCGCGCTCGAAGTGTGCGAGAAACGACGCCACGTCTTCCGCGTCTCGACCGGCAGCAAGGAACTGGACAAGCTGATGGGTGGCGGCGTCGAGAGCATGGCCATCACCGAGGTGTTCGGTGAGTTCCGCACGGGCAAGACACAGCTATCGCACACGCTCTGCGTCACCTGCCAGCTGCCCGGAGAAAACGGCTACAGCGGCGGGAAAGCCATGTTCATCGACACCGAGAACACGTTCCGACCCGATCGACTCCGCGACATTGCGGACCGCTTTAACCTCGACCACGCGGCCATGCTCGAAAATATTCTGTACGCAAGAGCCTTTACGAGCGAACACCAGATGGAGATGCTCGATCAAGTGGCAGCCAAGTTCCACGAGGAAGCCGGGGTTTACCGGCTCCTCATAGTCGACTCCATCATGGCGCTGTTTCGCGTCGACTTTAGCGGCAGAGGAGAGCTTGCCGACCGGCAGCAGAAGCTCGCTCAAATGCTGTCCAAGCTGCAGAAGATCTCGGAGGAATACAACGTGGCAGTGTTCATCACCAACCAGATGACGGCCGATCCGGGCGCTGCCATGAGCTTCCAGGCTGATCCCAAGAAGCCGATCGGCGGACACATTCTGGCCCATGCGTCCACGACGCGAATCGCCCTGCGCAAGGGACGGGCCGAAGTGCGCATTGCCAAAATCTATGACAGTCCGGACCAGCCGGAAAATGAAGCCACTTTTGCCATCACTGCCGGAGGAGTGGCAGACGCCGCCGAATGAATTAACATTATTTTGATATGTTCTATAACAATTTTATTGCATTTCCTTTTTTTTCTTTTTACCGCTTGCATTCTGCCTTGCGTAAAGACTCGTTCGCAGTTTTACGTCTGTTGTTCAATAAACCGTTCTGATCGACTTTTAGGTGTTTCCTGTTACTGAGGGAGGAACTTCGATCACGAAGTCACTGTCGCAGCTAAATTTAAGAGTGATCATAAGATCGGGTCAGGGCATGTGTAATCTTTTTATTGAGACTTGTTGATGGTTTGCACGTTTTTCTTTTAATCGTTCCGTGTCTCCGGAAATGTGTAAGCTATACGTTCTCACACGAGGATGATCACAGGCCCAATAAAAATATAGGGCTTACCTAAGTTGTCATAAATATAAAAATCCAACAAAACTTTATTTTTTTCCATCTTTATCCCATCGTTTTATGTTCGCCACGCAGTTCAGAACTTGAACCTTGAGCAAAGTGTCCCACTCGGCTTCGTTTTTTTCAAATAATGTCTGGATGACATTTCCCAAAGCCGGTATTTAGACAATTTTTATTTTAATTACCCCGGTACCTCGTAGTGTCATTAGAAATGGCTGTAGAGCAGGCAGTGCATGCATGTCACGTGTAGCACAAACAGTAAAGTTCGTGAAAGCAGATCTTCGTTCTGAGCTATCCCCAAAGGTCAATAAATGTTGCGGCACTAATGAATTTGGTCTGACATATGTTACTTAGTATATTTACGATCTTTTGTGAAACACTGACGCTAAATAAGCAGGAAATTATCACGCGCGTTACTGGTTTAATTACGTCGATAACGAAGTCCCGCCTCGCTCTCTTACAGCCCTCGCTAGGCTGAAAGGGAGGAGGAAGAGGTGGTACATCTTCGACGAAACCAGCTGCTGTCTCTACTCGTTCAAGAATGAGCTCGATGCCGGAGCAGGCAAGCAACCCACCTCGACCATAGACCTCCGCAATGCGGCCATCTCTTTTCTAGTGGACGAGGAAAACGGCTTTGTCATCTAGTAAGACCTCAAAAAATTTTGTTTCTCCTCTCGGAGAGTTTAGTCATTTGACAGTTTTAGTAGATCGTTCTTTTCAGGCCAGGCTATTTGTAGCGGGAGCCCGCACTGCCACTTCGATGCATGCTCTGAAGTGCGCGCCCGTAGCGGTAGCGGGCCTTCGAAAGCGATCTGCTAAAACTCCCTGCTTTAAATTCGAGGGCAGATTTCCGTATGGAATTCTTGTGTTGCAAAAAAAAAAAAATGTTTGCATGTAATTAATTTAATTATTAAGAGGGTTTTTCCTGATTTACAAGAGAGTTTCATTTGCACGGGTGTCAATTTGCTACTTCATAAAGGGGAACTTGGAACGGGGGATTAAACGGTACGATTCTAAAAGCTTAAGAAGGATCCCGTAGGAGTTTATTGCAACTGGAGTACTCTTGATAAAATGTTATTCATTTTACTAATGCATGTTTTCCCGTGTACTTCCGGGTCTCTCTTTCAGTTCTGATTGCAAGGAGTACGTGTTCATTGCTGATAGCCATGAGTCCATGATGATGTGGGTGATGGCCCTCCAAGTAAGCATTCCATTTCATTCTTTGGCCTCTCCTTAGCAATCTTATTCAAGGGGGGAAATAATAAAAAGGGGGATCCCGGTAATCGTAGGCGAGCATGTCAAGTCCATGTTCTTTTTATCGAGGCCCTCAATCATGCAGTTTGTCACCCTTGTAGATTAGCTCAATTTTCAAAATCAAACTAATCTAAAAAAATTAATTTCAGCTGAAAAAAAATATTCAGCTTGTTTTTTTAATACGTCTATCTGCTTACACTGGAACGTTATCCTGGCTCCAGATCGGGGTGTAAGATAGACAGGCGGAGAAACGAGAGCCAAATGAGCGACCGGATTGTGTCCCCCTCGGTGTTCTCGTTTTCTGTGGCACCATCTATGTGGAGCACCGCGAACTCTCACACCGGGTGGGCGAACGGTGGTAAGCGGTGGCGACCGGCTAAACTGACGGAGAAGGTTTCTCGTGGATTTTCAGTGGAGGACTGTCGTGCTCTCGGTTTATTTTGCGCACCCTCCCATAGAGTTCCATGCAAATTCGATTCCAATTTTTTTCTTCTCGCCGCAGCGCCATCTGTCGCAAATGGGGGGTACCCGCAAGCAGACAAGTACACAATCCGGTCACGGCGCTGCGGTAGGTTTCTATGGGCCGTTTCCCCACCTGTGTATCTTACACCCTGCTCCAGACCGTGTCAGTAGTGTGTATACTATTCTGAGTTATTTAGGCATTTGAGTGGCTCAACTTTGGCATTTCGAGGCATTTTTTTTTTTGTAAAGTAATGTATTGCATGTCGACCATCTTCTGACAGGGTCAGAAGATGGTCGACCCTGCCTGATAGTCAGTGTTTGTAACTGAATGGTGTTACTTTTAGATTAAGCGGATATGTAATAGGCGCTGCAAACAAATAAGAGGTGTTTGATGAAGTCTTGCAAACTTATATGTCTCATTAAATGTATATTCCATACTTGGTTAGTTGCTTTCTGTGGATATCTTAATCAAGGTGGGGTCATATTACGTGGTTTCATACTCAAGTCGTAGACATACATTTGCTAGTTGCCTTTGTCCATAAGACCACGTAAACTAATAGTGTCAAAGTGTCAAAGATTTTTTTTTTATTTTTTATTTGGGTATACACATGTATTATATTGACCTTTTTTTCTAGTGGAAAAAGGGGGAGGGGGGCTATTTTTTGCAATACGTACACAAAAAAGAATCAAATATGTTTTGTTCTTTGCATGTACCAAAACACAAGGCTGGGCACTTGCTGAGTGCGCAAATTATTCGTCCGAACACTGATACCGAGCGTCTAAAAATATTTACGAAAGGAAGCAATGATGTAATTAGCGCGAACACGACACTAAATCACTTTCTCGTTTTACTCTTCGAGAAAGGGAACAACGACATTGCAAGCACGAATGAAAACACGTATTTAGATAATCTAGAGCTAAGGGGGAGGGGGGAGGGGGGTAACTCGATTTATGAAGAGCGCTTGCAACTTAATGGCAAACGCCTCCCGCACAGATTCGTCGCAAGTGCGCATGCGTTGTGCTGTTGCGTGGAGAGGAGGAAAGCCGGCGTAAAGGCGGAGATGCTTGCCGTTGGAAACACTCTAAAATCAAGGCACACTCCACGCACTGCCGGCAGGTTGCGCCATCTAGCCACCAGCAGCGAAGGCACGAGACCCGCCGGTCTTGCAACGCCGCAGCCGCTTTCCGCTAGGCGGCGCAGGCTGCCGCGCGATGCGTATGCTCATTCGCGCGCATGCTGTTGCGTGTTTTTTTGTTTTTTTGTTTGTTCTGTTTTTGCGTAGTTATGTCCGATTTTGAGTTCGAAGCGAATTTGAAACGAATAGTGGTGTTGGTCGAATATTTTTTAATCAAATATCGAACACTATCTTCAAGCCTTTCACTACCGTGCACCATGCTTAAAGGCATGGTGCACGGTACAGTTCGCGCTCTCCACTTTTGCCCGCCTCCTCTTTTCCTATATCCTCTCCACTTTTACCTTGCCTCAACTTCGCTCCCTCACAGCTTAGGAGAGGAGAGCGCAAAGAGGATTATCGTCCCTGTGGAAAACGTAGGCCCTTAAACTAAAATCCAGCTGAACTCGTGAGGGTCGTTCCTAGCCTTCCACTTGTCCACTTCCAAGCTCAGTTAATTTTAATATAACTATATATTGATTAACTCTGACATGTAAACAATTAATTTGTCGTAGCTGTCGTGATCAAGGGGATTTAAAATCTGCTTGCCATAAACAAAAAAAAAAAAAAAAGAATAGTTCAAATTTTAATTAAAAAAAAATAATAACCAAGCGTGAATGACGGACGCCGGTTATCATGCCATCGCTACCAAACATATACTCTTCTATAATCGCGGCGGGTCGGCTCCGTTGAGTGCGCTTCTCACCGAACAACTGTGCAATACAGAAAAGCAATCCCCGCGGAGCCCGTAGTTCCGCGGGTATGGCTTCTTTGTAGTGCAAAGGTGCTGAATGCGAAGCGCACTCAAGCCGGGCTAACTCGCCGCGATTAACAGGAATAATAATAATAATAATAATAATAATAATAATAATAATAATAATAACAATAATAATAATAATAATGATAATATAGAATAAAAACACATCGAAAAGTGTGAATACCGTAGTTCATCTCGAAGCGAATATTGAATAGCGTATCATTCGAAACTACTATTCGAAAATTCAGGTATTCGCAAAACACTTAAAACTAGTATTAGCTGGCACATATTTAAAATGCCGACGAAAGTGTCACCTGGCGCGCGGGCACCCGTTATGCACATCAAAATAATTGTCCGCTTGAATCACTTGTGGTAACATTCTTTGAAGTCAAGCACCCACCAGCACTGTAGAGCGTGAGACCGCGATATCGGTTTCCCTATCTTGTGAATTAGTAATGGATGCTGGTAGGTGCCGACGTGTGTATCGCTCATGTTTGTACAAAATTGTGCTGTCTCGCCCGAAAATATCACATGGTATGCAGAACATTAGAGAAAGGCGGTGAATGCCATTACATAGATTCTACATTCACGATGAAAGGTTGTCGTGGATTGCCTTGTCGTGTCGTGGAGTGCCACAAACAAGTTTTTTTGTTTACAAACTGCTATGGTAAGTCAATAAGCAATTCTGATTTTCGTGGAGAGTTTGCTAAATGAATTTATAATATTGACAAAATCATTCACATTGAGATGGCTCGAGACTGGAGAAAAATTATATTGAAAAATTGAGACAAGAGCAAGTGGGTTTTTGGTTTCCATACTGATAAAATCTCACCAGTATGCCTGTGTCTTCAGTGTTATTGCTGCATTATTTTGTGTGAAGCAATCACGTGGCTCTTCTTTTTTTTTCTAGGAAAGTCGGGACTTATGTAGACACACTGTTGAACAACAGCCAAAGCCAGAAAGCAGAGAGCAAGCCAACGAGAGGAATAGCATCAAGAGGAAGATTTCTCTCCCGGTATGGAGGGTGAATCTATATGCTAAGCTTAACTTCGTAAGAAATATCTGTTTCTTTTTTTTTTTTTTTTTTCTGAAAGGGCTATTTTTTTTTAACATGAAGAAAGCAATTTTGCTTATACAGTGGTATAGCAAGGAATTGTTTTTGTGGGGAGCGGGGGGGGGGGGGGGGGCGGGGGGGGGGATGGTATCTCCACGGCAGGAGGGGGGAAAAGGGGAATAGCCACGACAGAAATGGTAGAGGGGAAAGGTTTGACTCTGATAACCCTCATTTGTCTTTGCAACTATGACTGCCGGATAGATCAGCCAACCACCCTATATAACATACAAATTGCATGAAAAATGGACATATGAAGCACCTTTCGGAGTACAAAGATGAGGTGTCAAGTATGGGCTTTTTGAATTGTGAAAGCGCAAAGTAAAAATGTCTGCTCGCTTCCCTAAACTAACCAAGGCAACGTTTCACAAGCTCCTAGAGCGGTTTGATTTCTTTTCTTTTTATAGATTTGCAGTGCATACATTTTATTAAATCAGTGAATGATTTGGTACATTTTTCTTCTGGGGATTTCAGATAGAAATGAGACTGGAAGAATCAATGAGCAATCGGGAAGCAGAGAACCATGAAGCACACCACATGCGCCAAGTGCAACGCGAGAGGAAGCTGTCCCTGCAGCACAACAGGAGTAATATTTCCAAATTCATATATCACTTTACCTCATCAAAGCAAAGAATTCAACAGCTTTTGATCTAAATGTTAGAGTAATCATAATAAGTTGGCTTTGACATTTATTGGTTGCAACTGGCCAAGGCCAGCTCATAGTATACGCTGTCTGTACATTTCATGAGAGCTTTTGCTCATAAATGTTTTGTAGGCTTATCTCGTCTGAATTTACAAGGAAAAAGTTCCACTCTACGAGGCAGATTCAAATACAAACTACTTTTCTTAAAGGGGCCCTGCAATCATATTTAAGCGTCTACCTTTTTAGCGGTTTCCACGTCTCTTGCGGTTCGGGCAAGCCAGCGGGCATGGAGAGAGTAACTAAATATCAGTGCGTCATATTTTAACCGGACGACGCGGAAACCTCCTCCACCGACGGGGGCGACCCGCGGTACCGAAAGCGCGCAAAATGTGACGTCTTTGCTACTGGGCTTACTGCTGGTCAGAGCCGCTAAAAGCTTCTTTCTAGTCAAAATACAAAATATAGGTGTGAACCGTTTCAATTATTTATAAAAGTAGTTTTTGTTCAGTATTTTAGATCAGAAAAGAAACGAATGCAGTTCATAAGGTACGGAAACAAGAAATGACCCGTCGACATACCCGCCACCAAGCGGTGGAAAAGGCGGCGCATACTAGAAAGGAGTAGTGGGATAAGGCGCCAACACGGAAAGGTCCCGGATGCACGCGGCGGCGCTGCGGTCTTATGGACAGGAGGATTCGACCGGCATCGAGCGTTCCGAAGGCCTTCGGCGAGAAGCTTTGTCTTGCGGGTTGGCCGTTTCGCGGTATGGGAGCGCAAAGTGGCTCCCATTCTGAACTGATCTTTAACCCGTGTTTGCTGTCGTTTGTGGGCAATAAAGTGTCATGCCGAATTAGTCTTTAATCGCGCAGCAAATGCAATGAGAGCCGCTCTGGCTGCCCGCTGGATACAGCCTATCCAGAACATGTTTAGTGGCTCCCTCTCGCGCCGTCGACACGGAGTGCGGCGGCCGTGTGCACTCGAGAAGCTCACTATCCCTCCTGTAGTTCACGGCCACACTCAAGCAACCAAGGACGTCACGAGGGAAGTTATTTTTTGCTTGTTTTTGTAATTTTAATTTGCCTATAACTCTTAAAATAAAGCTAATTTTGAAAAAGAAAAGTTTGACTAAGTTACTACGTTCAGTGCGCTCAGATTCGGTGCAAATTAAAACCCAGTAAAAAAAGTCTGCAGGGCCCCTTTAAGGTGTGACAAGCTTGCGGTCAAGCTCAGCTTCCCTGCATCTCAATGCTGTACTTCTCTGGAGTACATTACTGCGTTGCACAGAAGAGAACTGAACTGCATGTGTACTGATCTCAGATCACTGTTTAGGTTGACGTGTGAACTATTTTGATATGAAAGAACCATCAGGATTCTACCTTTTACGTGATTAGTAGGTATTTCTAACACTTTCCTCCACCTTTTTATATTTCTTCGTTTTTTTTGTCTGAATACCACTCGCATTATCATTCTTGTGAGATATTACTGAATTTGTTCCAAAGAGGGAAATGAAAATAGGCGTACAATGGTCAAGTAACTCCTGTATGCTTAAAAACAAAATTAAATGATAAGGAACAGCTCGTATAACTCTGGTCATATCTTGAGTAACTTGCAAGAATGTTTTATATCTGCGTAAGAATGCTTGTCGGAATGCTATAACCTTTTCTTTTTAAGCATAGAACTGCACAATCAATCTCGAATACTCCAAAGGTATTCAAAATCACATTCTCATTTTATGAAAAAAAAAATGTGCACGGTTGTTTCAAAAGAGCAATTCAGCTTTAATAAAACAATTCAGTAATCGTCGATGCGATCGACACATATATTTGTTCATTACGATTTCTCCCAAAAGTTAGAACAACCCAGACTGAGAAATAAAATAACTTGACTATGGCAGACAGCCTAGTAAATGGGCATACATCAGCCTCTCAAATGCTGAAATGAGCCTGCTGTCAGCTAGTTGCTGCCAAGTACTCTCACTACGAATACTTGCCATATCCGTAATCTTAAAGCAGGCATGCCAAGGCAAGGATGGGCCTTGCACGGGTGTGACGGTACTGCTAACTGAAGGCCGCAGTCACAGTCCTACTACGTCGTACAGAAGAAAGCTGTCCCATTGGTCATACAAAAACTGTCTGTAGACAAGTTCGAAGCATGTACAAAGCATACATGCTACAAACATGCTTGAGACACGTCTTCAGACACTCCTGTCATCAACTCTGTTGCGAACACCGTGTCTTCTGTACGACGTACGAGCAGTGTTATTTTGGCTTAAAGCCTAATAAGGAAGTAGGAAAGTTGTGTCGTGTGGCTTGTCGTCCGATAGAGACAGCAGTGTACCTTACACCTCAGAGACTACACACTGACACGTTCTGGAATGCAGCCAAGGTATGGCAGACGACGACGCTGTCCACTATTTCCCATTCGTCGGCCATGGAAGAAGAGGAGGACGTCACCAAGGGGGCCTCCGCCACGACGGGCAGGCTGGCACGGCCGCCCCTCGCCTCCACTTCGTCGTCCGAGGGGGTCTCCTCGGCCCTGGGCACGACGAGTCTTCGAGGGTCCCAGGCAGAGCGAACGTCCGGGGTCAGGGCTGCACGCAGCAGAGACGGTGGCAGCAACAACTCCGGACGTACTCACCACCGGAGGGTGCCGCTGAGGAGGTGCGTCTGAATGTGCTGCAGGCTAGGTAGAGCTTAACTGTTGATATTAACAGCATTGGATAGTCTTATGCACCCATCCATCCATCCGTCCATTCATCTCTCTGTCTGACTCAATCTGACTCCTGCAGAGAAGATTTGCTTCAATGGGAAAAATAGCATCTGGATCTATAACCAAAGCCTGGTTGTGGATCCATCGTGAAGTAAAAATAATGCAAAAACGTATATCTCAAAGCACGCACTACAGAGAATAAAAAGTAAGAACTTTCATTTTGATTAGCTCGGTCAGTGACCATCACTAAAACGAAACAATCGATATAGGTTGTGTAACATTCTATTTTGTAGCGGAGATGCCATGAAGCTGCGTCACTGCCATACTTGCCTAGGTTTTGCACGGATAAGGAATGAAGGCGTGAGCCCAGGAGTTCATGTTGAAGATGTTGGCCTTGAGAGTAGCGTGCCCAGTGATCATCTGCTGCGGCCAGTCATTTGTTAACAAGAACAAAAACATGATAAACATTATTTTTCTGTTTGAGGCAATGCATTCGTTTGGTCTAGGTGTGAGCACATCAGGACTTTTCTTATCAAAGTTTATAAACTATCATTCTGCAAAGCATTCTCAGTGCTTGGCTTTCAAACTAGATGTAAAAAGATGTCGAATCCAAAAAAAATTTAACACATCTGTCACTGTGTATGATGTGGTGCTGTTTGGTTAAAGCTGTTTTATTATCACCACCTTTGCTCGTTATATTTCGCGGCATTTTTCCAGTTCAAACACAAGGCTTCGAATCTTTTCTGTAATGTTGAGTCCAATAGCATTTCATGTACTTTACAGAGTGAGTCACCAGAGTAGCGCAGGAGTCACATCTGGTTGCGAGTCGGACTCTGACAATGCCGAGAGAGGCGGGACCCAGCGTGACTGTGGAGGGTTCTCAGCCGCCATGCGAGAGCGCATCCGCTACCTCCGCTCCGTGGCCAACCCTGATTCAGCCAGAGATGCTGTGAGGCAAGAACGAACAGGGTAGGCTTGTCGATTATTCTCTCGAGTACTTCTCGCATGCTTGATGTGGTAGCCCATGAAGGTTTTTGTCGGGATCACAAGACATGTAAACATGTTCAAACGCTGCAGCTACTATACCAAGGAGAATTATAAAAAGGTATTTTCAGCCAACAGTATGTATGGTTGTGCTGGTGACTATCATCCCCGACAATCAGTTGGTAGTACTAGTAAAATATACTGCATTTCGCCGTCAGTTCTGAGCAAAGTTGATAGCACAAGTAGGGGCACAGTGCCCTGGACAATGCCTTCGCTGTGAGGGACCGCGAGCACTGCAGGCAGGCACGCTTAGTGTTAAGATCTTGCTGGCTTTGTCTAGGACAGACCTGATTCGACTTATACTAGTGTCACTAAATAAGCTACGCTTCAGAGTAACGACACTTGCCCGTATTGTGGCTTAAATCATGGTTGCCAGTTACCTGAATCTTTATCTGCAATCGTAGAAAACGCTTTTCGGTCCTCCACAAACGTTTAAACAGCTCGCGACAGAGCAAAACAACAGAGCATGAGCTTTCTAACGCCGAATCTAATGCTGAGGATGTCGCACTTTTGAATTATGACTATCGGCTACTGCGTCTGCTCTGCACAAGCACCAAATTACGGCGCCCGCAAAATTGTCGAGGAACAGAATGCCGATACTCTAAGCGCAGCTCATTTAGTGGCTCTAACTAATACAATGCTGGCTGGAAACACACCACTACTATATGTAGCGACACCACTCTCTAGTTATGCTGATGCCAACCAAATTAGAGCAATTAATGTTTTTTTAATTGCATTGTTGCAACGAAATCAATTTTATACCTATTTAAAGGTGCACGTCATTATACAAGTTTAATTTTACAGTCATTGTAGAGCATAAGGATAACTATTGCTTCCATCTTGTGGGACTATTGTCAACTAGCCAGAGTGGAGAGGAGATTACTGCCTTGAAAGCTCACGTATAAAATCAGGCATCTGTTTGCTGTCTGGCTTGAAGCGCTTCACCATATACATTTTTGACTCCAAGAAATATGTTGTCAGGTTTATTTAGACCTAGTTCTATCACGTGGCTGAATTTTTCACCTACTGAATTCACTGACTTTCTGGGAAATAGCAGCCTCAAGTGTAAGTTTAGTAACCATGTGCGAATAGTAGATTTTGAGTTTGAAGCAAATTTAAAGTAAATAGCGGTTTTGGCCGAATATTTTTAGTTGAGTATTGAATATTTTCTCAAAGCCTTTCACTTCTGTTTGATCATGCTTAAACTAAAACCCAGCTAAACTTGTGAAGGTTTTCCCTAAGCTTCCACAAGTCCCTTTCTAGGAAAATTTTAACTGAACTATATGTATTTATGAAGTGTGACCCTCAGAAAGTCTGATGCCCTGGGTTAGCAACTAAAGGACAAATTTGACACAAAATGAAACCTATAGAGATGCCCAGCTATACCTAATTGAGTGAATTTACAAACCTTGTTATATATATAGATTGAAACAAAAAAAAAATATTTGCGTGCGCAAAGATTTTTTCATTCAATCTTGAATTTAAGCAAACAAACATGAAATAATCACGAATGATGAATGCAGCTTGTTAGGACATGTCAACCTAACATATAATCTTGCATAACAGTTTTCCCTGACGCCCTCGACCCTGTCTCCTCTTCCTTTAACTTCTTATCCTCTCTCAACCTTCCCTTACGGTCCTCTGTGCTCGAAGCCAACGTCTAATAAATACTATATGCGTTAAAAGTCGAAAGATGTCCGTCCTTGTCCGCCCTTTTTATTTATTCTTTCTGTAACCAGCCACAGTTTAGTTTTGAAAATTTTACTGCAATGTAGATACCAGCGTTCGCAAAATTTCAATATATTTTTTAAATCCACCATGCGCGCGTGTGCACCATGCCACTTTGAAAGTGTGCTTTTATCCCAAGCACGTAATTGCGATATTCATACTTTTCTGAGTGTTGACTGCAGCGGGTTACCCCGTTGAGTGCGTTTCTTACCAAGTACGGGGGCACTGCTGTGAAGAACACCCGCGGAGCCTGCTCCCGCGGGTATTACTTCTCCGCAGAGCACCTGCGTCTGGTGAGAAGCGCACTCAACGGGGCTAACCCGCCGCGATCAACACTTCGAAAAATACAAATATGGCAGTTCATCTCGAAGCAGATGTCGAATATTGTATTATTCAGAATTTCGAATATTCGCACAACACTAAAGTTTAGTAGGTTAATGAATGGGTGTAGCTTTGGTATGTGTTACTAATACAATAGTTTGCGATGGGTTAAGAGTAACGTGGAAGCTCCTCACACATTTTTTCCACCTTAGCTGAGCAAACGCTGGAGAGGAGGTGACCTCCTCTCCAGTGTTTGCTCTAATAAAGTGGAAAGAGATGGGAGGAGCTTTCACTTTACTCTTAACCTGTCCCCGACTATAGTTATGATTGAGCCAGTGAAGCAATCAAATTGAGGTTCAACCTTTTTTTACTTTAGCGATTCTAAAGAATTATATTCTAGTGAAAATTATTTCAATGTTTTAAGCAAGAAAAACATGCTTAGTGTTGCAGTTGGTGCATGATAATATAAAGCAGTGATTGAGAAAGCATAAGAGACAAACACAGAGCACAAATTCTCTAGCATTTTACTTTTCACTTTTTGCTCCGTGACATTTCCCTTTCTTCTTTGTGATGTCTTGAGTTTGTTATCATAGTTCCGGTAAAATTTTTGTAGAGTCTTTTTTGAGCTTAGATTTAACCATTTCTTCATGCAGATCGTTGTCTGGAAATTCTGTATCTAGCGACTCAGCCATTGGTCATGGGGACTCGGCGCTCTCGCTTCGCCTTCACGAACTGGAAACTGAGCTTATGTTAGTAACTTTTCTTCTCATTCAATATGCACTCACTTACATTAGTCATGTACATTAGCCATCACATTCTTTCAGTAGTGGTCCAAAATCTCAATGGCATCTTTGTTGGCGTTGATTGCAAAACCCAGCTCTATCTGTCAATTAAAGTACTATCAATAGGTAGTATGACGTATGAATATTTATTGTAAGTGAAAAGGTCTTTTTTAGGGTTACTTTTGATAACACGTTATTAGCTTGTTGCTCTGACTGTCAATGACCTGCTTACATATTTGTTTGGTCAACAGGCATTAATCTAAGACTTCTTTTGCTTTTAACCTCTAATAGTATTGACTTGTAATTTCGCTTATACGAGTTTGAGTCAGTGAAGCTACCATTGCATAGGGCATGCCATCTTTTGGGAAGTTTTTGTTATACTGCACATTATTTTTGAATATGTGGTGTGGATATTCTGGTTAACTTGGCAAGGGCAGTTGGTTTCGACTAGGGATATGTTGCCCTCATCACTGATTGTGCCGTAAAATGCAGAGCAAGCACTCACCCGAAATTGGGAGATAATCTTAAAAAACTGGGGGATGGGCAGTTGTTAGATTCAAGAACAAAAATGCAGAAGGGGCACTGATTGGGTGGGCTTCACTGCTTCACACTAGAGCTCTGGAGCTAGCTCGGTGAGCTCAGAGTCTCGGGTGAGCACTTGATATGTGCTCACCCCAGACTTTGCATAGTTTTCAGGCATTTCAAAGTAATGGGTTAGTGCTTATTATGAAGTGGGTGCAACCTTTGATATATTACAGTATGTTGAACACCCCCCTCCCCCCCAAAGAAAAAGGCCTCAATAGCAACCAACTTTTCACCGTTAGATGTGGTGTCTTCTAGGTTTCTTAGCAAATCTAATCTAAGGTTGCTATGAATACTTTTTTAACACATCATTCTCATTTCTGCAGTGTCCCCATGCCGCGTTTGTTTTGTTCGATAACAGTGTGTCATAATGCTTACCTAGTCTATAAGAACAGAAACACATCTAAGGTGCGGTGCACGTGCCTCTGGCATTCTTTACAGGGCAACTAAATGTGAGCTTGCCAAGGCATTCAACCGGGAAACAGTTCAGAAGAATGCCCTCATAGAGCAGGAAGGTCTAGTCTCAGAACTGCATCAGCAAATCCGCTGCCTGGAGACTTCATCTGAGGATCCAAAGTATGAGCAACTTGGTCACGTGTCACCTTGTTAGTGACACAGTTTTGTTACGTGTCATTTCAAACTTGAGACTGCTTATGGTGCAACCATATGCTAGCAGTTTCATGCCAGCTGTAGCTCAGGAGTAATGCATGGAAAAAATGTCTTCTGAGTACTCCTGATATCTGTGAATTGCAAAAAAACCTAATAAATGGAATCTGTTTGTGGCCCCATGTAACCACATCAGCATACCGTCGAAAACAAAACTCTCATTTCTTACCGGTAGAAAATCAACAGTTAAACATTTATTGTGGATGTATGTAAGTTTGGCTGAAGAAAATGAAAGAAAAACAACATGACTATTCTTTGGAATCAATGTTTTCAGCTCATTACGGTCAGAGCAACGCGCAAATGTCTAACATTGCTTGCAAGGAACCATCAATTATTCTGTTGTCTGGGAAGAGTTTTAAAGTTTGGGTGGAGGGGGCAAAGTATATAATCCTTAATTAGTCACAACATATGTCTCTGTATTTTTGTTGTTTTTTGCAAAAGATAAAGCAAGCTGTTATGAAAAGGGAAGATTGTTCCTTAGAATTTCTTTTTTATTCGTTGCTTCATTGTCATGAAAGGTAGTCAGGAGGCTTTCACAGAAGATATTGAGAACTTGGTCTGTCGTTCTCTTTTAGTTGCATCCTCTGTGTTATTTTTACAATGCTGAGCTGAGACAACAATGAAAAGACCCGTCCTTCTAATGGTGCACATTTTCTCAGGAAGGGCTGCAGTGTGCAGAGGCTAAACGAAAAGTGCTGCATGTTGGAGAACCACAACCGCTTCCTCAATGAAGAAGTCCTGAAGCTGTCCAAGCGCCTTCAGCAACAGCAGTGCCACAGCGTCACTTATCAAAAGTAAGAACTGACTGTCTCATGTTATCGTTTTGCACATTATTGCCAATTCTACTGCCCAAATCTTGCAAGTATCTTAGGAGCTAAAGAAAGCTGGCACTGTGGACCCTTTAAAAAATTCAGTGGCATATAATAGATTAAATAACAGTAACTTTTCGATCACTAATGGAGGTTCGGCATTTCATTTAGCACCTTAACTCTCTTACATCGGTGGCAGACGATGACAGTGCTCTTGATTATGCAGTTTGCATTCTATTTGTTCCACTTTCGTTTGTGGCAAAGAAACTTTATGCGAAGCACTGACTCCAGTAAAGCTTTGTATAAAATTCACTACGCTAAAGCGCGAGACACATGCGCGAAAAATCCATCCGATCCGACGTCCGATCCGGCAATACGACTGCCTGATACGAAATGTTTGGTCGTATCAGACGTCTGATCGGCGATCCGGCGTGCGTCCGACGCGCCAGATAGTTTCGCACGGCGGATGGACTGTCGGAAGCGTCCAGCCAATGACAGCACAGCTAGCGCGAACGTCATGATGACGTACTGGGTCTGGCGGGACGAACAAGAAAACGCGACTGACCTTGGCAACAAGCGGGACGCGTGAATCCCGCTGGCTTATTCGAGAAAGGCGGCCCAGCAAAGAAAGCACGTGCTAGTGAGAACGAGCTCCTAATTTCGCTTTTGCGAGCTGAACCGTAAATTTGGGACCAGAGATCGTACCCTGTATAGGGACGCGGACCTAGCTGGAGCGCTTGGATCTCCAGGGCGGAGCCGAACGGATCGTCGTGTCGCATGCAAGGTCGGAAGCGTGTGCCTCAAACTGTCGCGTGCGGCAATTCGGAGTGGCGTTCGGGCTGTCGGATCGGACGTCGGATCGGACGATTCTGCCGTCCATGTGTCTCGCGCTTAAGGAGCTTTCAAGCCAAACATATTCCAAACGATTTATTATACCCGAGTTTGGAATTAAAATGATGCAACTCTTCTACTAACATCTCGAGTTTGCCTGTGCGCATGTCTCGGCTTGTTTTTTCGTTAGCCACCTGAAGGCCGCCATTAGTATCACACAGATGTTGTACACTTAGATGAGAGATCAAGGTTGCCAGACTGAATTTGTAAAAGGGTCCTTCGCAACACCCCATCGATAACAACGCCGTAGTGCTGGATTCTGTACGTCACCCATTGGAGGCGTGACATGAGTCCCACCTTTTGGGATGACTGGTGTTCCCTCGGTGAGAACACGAGTCCTAGCTGAATGCCGACACAGCACTCGTGACAAATATGTGTCCCGCGCAAGCCTCTGGTAGGTGATATAAAGAAATCCGACTCTACGGTCTCATTACTTAGGGGGCGTTTGTCTGTTGGTCTCACACTTTCCTAGGTTATGCACTTTCCGGTTTTAACCACAAAACATCAACCGGCGACGAAAATATGAAATCGGTTACAACCAAAAAGCACTGGTGGTCGAATTTCGTTTGCCCTGATCAAAAACGAATTCACATTGACTAAGGGTGTAAAGAGCCTGACTTGTTTCTCACTTTTTATGACATTGGTGTCCTAGAAATGTGGTGGCGACAAATTTGGCACAAAAAAAATGACTACGTTTGGCTACTTTTGAATTGCGGTTTGGATACTTTTATCAACCGGCCAACGGCAAGACTGGTTCCGGAAATAAAATTTGCATATCTATTTTATAAGGCGCACCAGTCTGCACAATAATTTTTTTCACAAATAACTTTTTTATTGATAATCACAGTTTTTAGTTTCACAGGTGGTCCAACGGAAACACACTAGTGTTTAAAAAATAAATGAACACCGAAGAACATCCGCCTAAATTTTTTTGTTAAGAAATATTGGCAAAATACACACCCTAACTATATTGTACAGTGTACTTAAAAATGCTTTTACTCACATTGAGGTTTGTTTGGTCTTCTTATCTAGAAAAATATATTTCTAATAAATGGAAGCTTTGCTGGTCGTTTGAGATTGATAATTTGTAACCATTATGTTCAGTGGAGACAAGAAGCATGAGCGGCTACATAAAACCTATCCTTTTACATGGTTCTCATATGTTACCTTTAATAAACAACAGTATGAGTTAATACCAGTAGGTATTCTTGTTTTGAAGCATCACACTAGTAGTTAGGACGAACTTGCATCCATTCTGTGAATATTTCATATCCATTGGCAAGCTTGGCAATGCTCAAGGAAACTCGACTCTGTGTGCGTAGCAGCTCTGCACCTTGGTCGAAAACTTAAAATTTTGGTGGAGAGCTTTAAAGCCACCAACGATGTCTAGAAGTTTTGGCTTAATATGCTTTGAGCAGGCTTTGCTGCGGTATTGTTGTTAACTGCAGAGGAGCATGCTACACAATGCTGACAAGTGACATGTCGTAATGTAGTGCCGCTAGCATCTATGGTCTGATCACCCAATGATTAGTTTGCCAGGTTAGTGTAACGGCCATACAACATTCTAATAGCTAACATTCAGAAAGGTGGTACCCACATCAGTGCATTTCATTCGTTGTTATCTAGCGCGAATGAGCAGACAGAGACATGAAGCTTCTCTGCATTGCTGCTTCCCTGTAGCCCACCAAAATGGGAAGAAGTGCTCTTTCCAGCGAGGACCAGCAAATGTTTACATCAGTCTTAAAATGAAAGTTTCTTGGTACACGTCCATTTTAAGCAGCAGCTATTGCACTGTTATACATATGAATTATGTATATTATGTGGCTTCATAAAAGTGTCGTTGCTGTTTGTGTTTACAAAAAAACTTGAGAGAGTTACTGCCTTTGACAAATGTTTTTGAAAGATCTGTTTAAGTGTTCAATAGGAATATTCATGCTCAGTTTCAAAATCCGCCATATTGCTCACAGCTTTGAGAGGCCTTTTCCCCAAGCAAGTTTATAAGAAGCCGTTCTGCACAATCACCCAAAACATTCCTCCTAGTATAAAAATTACATTTGGGACAAATTTTTAGCAAGAGCCTGAAGTGGATGCGATTATAACAATAAACTTTAAAGGCATGAGCATTTCATTTTCTAAGGAATCAGTGTACTCTCATAGCTGCACTAGCTGGTCAGCTGCTTGATGTCATCTTTTGTGCCTTTAGTAGTTCTGCCTTGGCCATAAGAAGGACTTGTGCTCACTATGTTGGGTGCCGCAGCTGATTGGTTTTTTCTTTCCCGTTCCTGTACTGCCCAGCTGCCTGCACGACCAGGAAAGGGAGATTGACCAGCTCAAAAGGGACTACGTGTTTCTGATGCAGTCGGCCATCAGGATACGCTCCATGGAAGGGCCGGAAATCATGGAGGTCTATCTGTATGGTGGCGAAAAAGTGTGTCTCCTTTGAACCCTTCATTTACAAAAAAAAAAAAAAAAAAAAAAAAAAACTGATTGATCTCACTGAACAGCTTTAACCGTAAAATATAGAGCAGGTGCCCACCCAAAATTGGGAGATAATTTTAGAAAAGCTGGGTGATGGGTGCCTGCTAGGTCCAAAAGTCAAAATCAAAATGAAATTTGACTTTTGAGTTTGTACGGCGTAAGGTATGCATGCCTTTGAGGTGCGGTGACACTGGTCTACACTGTAGGTGAGAAATTTAGCCAGTACAGTACCTGGGGCCTTTTATGTGCATCGCACAGTAATACATGGGTTCTACAGCGCAAGCTTTCGCTCCACGTGCTCCAAGCCGCGGTGCGCTAACACGCTTGACGTCCGATCCCCCGCTCCAAAAGCTAAAACGCAGGGGGTGCACCTACTGCATTTTGCTGCTTCACCACTTTTGAATTTTGCATCTGCTTCACCGCTTTGCACCAAGGTGCTTAGAGAAGCGGCTGACAAGGGGTGCGCACCTCGGTTAGCTACGGGGGCTTAGACATCTGTGGTAGGCACTTGCTGTGACCTTTGCTTAGCTCTCAGACATTTCAAAAGTAGCGGGTAGGTGCTTATTGTGACCTGGATGCAAGCTCGGCATCTTATGGCATTACTTTTTGTTTGACCGAAAAGAATTAGTTTGGTTGAAAAATTCCAAGCAAGAACAAGAAGAGTAGTATGGAAAGAATAATCTCTGATATTTAGACAATTGTGGCTACTTTACAATCAGTAATAATGGCCTGTCTTTAAAGCAGACCCTCCAGTTTGGTAACCAAAGATAACACAACTCAGTGAAGTCTAACAATCTGGCACTTAGTGCAGGTAGACTCTGATTGTTTTAAAACACCTCCGCCATTTCTGCCAACCTCTTACTTATCTGTCTCCTTTCATAAATTCCTACCTAAATGACAGAGAGAGAAAAATTTTGACGTGGTCAACAATAAACGATTGCATCTACATCTCTAGGTTTTATTTTCACATTTCTGGGATCATAAAGTAGAAAAAGGAACACGCATTATCCAACACGGGGAATATGAACATTCTTTCTGTGTCTTTGTGGTCAAACAATAATAGAAATGTTTGACCTATGCACTTCGCTAGTGATATCTACGTTTTTATATAAGAGTAGGTTTAGTTGATTCGCTCCAACTCATTACCAAGCTGTTGGAGGGCACTCCCCTAGAGTTTATATGTACTAACCTTCCCACCTCTTCCTCAGAAAAATAATAATCAATCCCCATTTTTAGGCACTTCGTGCTGGTTGCAAGCTTTCTGCCATAACATGAATTTGTGGAGATAGGTGCATCGATTAATTTTGACATATCAAAACATTCGCATCATCTGGTAGCCAGAGCGGGAAACTGTGAAAGGAGATAAGAAAGAGTTCTTTTCGCTGGAGCCCACCATAAACTAAGATGACTTCGTAAGGAACATTTGCAAGCCTTCTAAATCAGATTTGTGAATCTGTGCTAGGAATTGTTAAATGCACTCTGCCTTGCAGTCATTACACTCCTAGCTAACTCATTTTCCATATTCTCAGTGTGTGCTTTTCCATCACATCTACTTTTTAAAACTATTTGCTTTTATACATGTTTGCTAGTGTAGCCCCTTGTTGTTGGTGTGTGTATATCACGTGATAGTCAACCATTTCTAAGGTGTGCTCACAGTTGCCAGATCGCTGCCCTAACAAATTGTTTTCCACCCACGGTGGCGAGACTCTTTAGGAGTTTGGCCACTTTTAAGCGTGTATGCTTCTTCCTGTCCCAGCACGCCGCTCGTGTTGTTCAGTTGCTCCGAGAGGCCCGGATGAGCAATCCCAGCCTTCCCCTTTACGACAGGTAGGACCCATCAACTCGTGTACTAATTGATTTATTCCATATCTGACAGCATGTTAAAGACAGCATCTGATTCTGTGCCTTCATTCCAGCCACAACAAAGTTCTGCAGCACACGGATACCCTGGGCTTCAAGCACAACTACACGGAAGAGAGTCTGGCCCTGCACTACATCTGTCGGCAGCTTTACCTGCATTACAGGGACCAGCTGCCATCCTCGTCCGAGCACCTCCGCCACTGGAGGCAGTACCTGTTCATGAACGGCGATCAGCTTGTCAGCTCGGTAGGTCGGTGTATTAATCCAACAGCCCTTCAGTTAGTCAATCGAGGACTAGTCCGGCCACCTTTTTCGAGTCTTGAAGTCTCGGAATTTTTAACAACACTTAAAAGGGAGGAGTGTAAATGTTTTTAGGCTAGGTGGCACAAGCTACCACCTGTTACAAAAGGCATCGCCAATGCCATCTATCCATTCTTCCATCTATCCATCCAGTTTCTGCAGCTGGAACTTGCAGGGAGAATGACTCCTGTTATGGCATATTGTAAATATAAGGAGAATAAAAAGTTATTTTGTGGAAAGCCATGCCAGTTTGTTTTGGTGAATGTTTGACAGTCAATGTTTTTGCTGTGGGAACAGCGTGTCAACGGTAAAGTTAAAGTTGAGTGAGTTGTTAAAAATTAAAGTTACAACACATTTTTTTGCTTAATGAGGACTTTAAATATATTTAAAAATTACAGGAGAAACGTGCAGCATAATGTTATGCAAGAATAACAATGTCAGGAAACAAAAGGGGCACATACCATTATGTGTTTATTAACATTAAGATACAGTAGAAGTTCCAATAACGTTAAAGTAACAAAGAACACACGTACAGAAAGAAAAAATATATCAGCAAAATTTAATTCGAAAAACAAACAAAAACATTTTTTTTTACAGTAATGTTGATGCAATAAGTTCAAAATCCTTATGTGAGAAGTGTAAAGGCCCTCACACTCTTGCAACCGAGAGAGACGAAACTTGTTAAAACCTCTTAAAATTGCTTAGGGCGAGAGAACACACTGGCACGCTGGCGCCATCTATGCGGTGACCCTGAAACTGCATTTCACAAGAGCAAAGGTTTTGCGGGATTTCCGAGGCCAAACGGGCATAATACCTATAAGAAAGGCTCGTTTATAACGCTGACAAAAGTTTTTCGAGCCAAGAGAGAAAGGATAATGCGTGAGAGAAATAGAAAATATGCCGGATCGCCAAGTTTACACTGCTACCCAATAGATGGCGCCAGTGTGCCCTCTCGTTGTAAGAGGTTTCAAGGAACTCAGCTATAAGAGGTCGCAAGAGTGTGAACGGGCCTTAACGGCGTCGCACTGAAGCAATGGTTGTCCCCTATAATTTTTTTTCTATCTATCTCAGTTAAACAAAACATCTATCATCTGATAGATCTTGGGTACCTAAATTAAAGAGAGCAAAACTTGCAAGAAATATAAAAGCAAAGCTGCAAAAGGGACTTTTGAGGCCTTTAACATTATGGTTCAGGGTGACAGCGACTGCGTCGATGTGCCGTCATTACACATTTCATGCAGGGAGTTTCAATTTCTTGCGTTAGCATTATAAAAAGGAGAGGGTATAGCATATGTTTCTCGTTTTTAGAGTAGAGTTCCGTTTACGGTGGTGGTCTGGTCTTCGGTACTTTAATACTATTGAAATGTACAAACTGGTCTACCTATGCATATTACTACGATGAAAGCGCCAACGTTACTATGCCCATTTTCATCTCCAGAAAAAAGCAAGTTTTGCGCATTGTTCATATGCGGCACGAAGTAGTTCTCACGAGATTTGGTTGTCGGAGGAAAAAACGGTGCTTTTGGTAGTTGGAACGTGTACGTTTTGATAAGATAAGATGCGCCTAATTTAAATTTCACCTACATATATCTTAATTATCAGCATGAAGGGGGAAATTAGTAATGCTACGGGAGGAGCCGGTTTTTTTTACTACGGTTCTTGCGATGAAAACGGGTGTAGTTTGTCTCGAGGAGCCGTTGACGCATAAAACGCTGCAACGTTCTGAGCATCCAGGTTACGAAAAAATTATGCAGCTAGTTTCTTACATAAAGAAGGCGATCATAACCATGGCGAAGCATGCACATGTTTGTGATTCGCCTCGCACATTACAGTATCAGGAATGTACGTGCTTGTCTATGCCACATTTTACTACACGAGCACAATGCCAGGCACAAAGTGGTTACTCATAACATGCTCAGTTTTCTAACACAACAGCTTAATTTTTTTTTCTTATTTTGAAAAAAAAAATATTGTTATGTTAAAAAGTGTAGGCACTCAACATAATTCAATATGTAGCTGTCATGGCAGCTTGCAGGGGGCACCACATCAATTTCGCTCCGCTGACTAGTAGTTTTTGTTGGCGTCAACGTTACTAGAACACTTAGTTGGGAAACTCACTGTTGAAACCTGGGCCGCTGACGTCCACCAAGACCGAGCTCAACACGACAACGGCGCCACTCTTAATCTTTTTTCTTTGCTGTGGTCACCTTGAGCTTTTAGAAGGCATGTTTTTGCGTAAAAGCGAACGAGAAAAACTCTTTTTGTTGTAACTTTTATTGGAGTTCACTACAAAATGAAGGGCGCGTGATGTTTTCCAAAATCTTTAGTTTGCAAGGTTTTGCGGCACAATTAATATTGTTTTTATACAACCATGTCTCAGTAGTGATTTCAGGTAGCGCGTCCCGACCTAGGTGCATTCTAACTTCGGTAGTAATTTGCAGCGCGTCCGCTTGGGAGACGGGGGTAGCACGCCTGAAACCTCGGCACAAAAATGGCAGCTTAAAACAATAATAGAAGTCACGTGCGGTTCCTGGTGGATGCTGTGGGAGAAATGGCGGCGTCGCGACCACCATTAGCTCGGTTCTTGAGTACGGGTTGGTGCCACTTTTTCAGAGCAGGCTCTATGGCAGTCTCCCAACTGAGTGGTTCTAGTAACGTTGGTTGGCATTCATAGATGGCGACACATTGTTTACGCTTCATCGCCTAGGTTTTGTTGTTATATACAAATGGCACTAGCTTATTTAGCAAATGAGATGCCACTACTTGAAACATTCCAGTGTTTCAAGTAGTGACAGCGCACATTATATCAATGTAACTGGTCAACAAACAATCGTGACTGTATTTCATAAGGAAAGCGTAATTTTAACCTTTAATTTTCAGCTGTATTTTTTGAATCTCTGTGTAATAGGAGAGTCAATGAAGTACTAAACTAAGCTAAACCCATCGATATAACTCTTCAGCTCCACACACCTAAGTGTGACACCCAGTAATTTTGTTGCTGTTTTTTTTATAAAGTCTTCAATGAACATTTGGCATGAAATTATTAAAGCTTGTATGAGTCTTTCTTGCGCTGTATATACTCTCTGCCTTTGTTTCAATACTTTTTTATCACTTCCTTAACATAAAAAAATGCTGTAATTATTCCAACGTTATGCTTCGTAATTCCATAGTTTCCATAGGTCCAGCTTTCATCTTAGAGTCGAAAATGATCGCTTTCCTCCGTAGTCAACTTTGCTCTTTCTTGCATTAAGTTTTTTTTGCCTTATTATCTCAATCTTGAGGCTTCCAGATTAGTGACGTATGTAAGTGCATGAGCAAACTAACTAAGGCGTTCCAGCACATTCGTTACTCTCATAAATATGAGACAATTCATCTTAATCTGGTGAAAACATTGAAATCAATTTTACCAGTCAACTTGTGTGTCGCTGTTTAGTGCCGCACTTGGTGAGCTTTAAAAACTGACAAAAAAGTGAAAAGTCGGAGATGTTTTGAGTTTTCTACAATAATATTTGGCAGAGTATAAAGCCACTACAAGTACACTCTAAAAAAAGCCCGTGAGTGTGCTTTCCCGCACAACACTCGGAGAGCCAATCACCGCAACTTAGGGAGGCAGCTCAGCGAATGACAATGCCGAAACATATGTTTAGATCAAAAAACGCGGTCTGAGTTGTGACACTAAGCAAAGCAAGCGTGACGTTTTCCATTGCTAAATGTCACAACTCAGACTACGTTTTTTGGTCTAAACATGTTTCGGCATTGTCATTCGCTGAGCTGCCTCCCTAAGCTGCGGTGATTGGCTCTTCGAGTGTTGTGTGGGAAAGCAGACTCACGGGCTTTTTTTAGAGTGTAGTTTTCGTTCTTGTAACTCAGCCTTGCCTCTAGTTTTAATTTCAAGAAGGTATCTGAAATGCAATGTCGTGCCATGGTATGTTGTACATTTATCTCCTCATAGCTTATCGATCTTCTCCTAAAAAAGTTAATTCCCTGACTGAGACGACCTTCTAAAGTATAGGGCATTGTTGATTGTATTGCTATTCTTCATAATTTATGTTCATTTCAGGCGCTCAGCCAGGATTTTGTTTCGGGATGGGGCCCGCCCATGACAAAATGCTGTATGAGGGGGAGGGGGGGAGAGGGGGGTCCCAGCAAAATGAAAGATTTCGGGGGGGGGGGGGGGGGAGGGGGAACACCAGGGCCCCATGCCCCCCTCCCCCCCTTTCCCTTGGCTACGTGCCTGGATCATTTTGTAGTCTCAATTTGGTATTACTTTTTATAGGACTTGCTTTTATAACTTGCATTCCTTCCTCCCACAGTAAATCCCGTTTTCTATCTAATTATTCATTTACTTGTTATTTGCTCTCAAACATAAGCATTACTGAGACAACACAACTTAACACCTTTTTTTTAACATGACTTGTAATTGTGCAGGTGGCATGAAAGAGTGGTGAAAGTCATTGGTGTGGGCAGTGGCGTAGGCAGGAATTCTTTTTTTTTTTGGGGGGGGGGGGGGGGGCTGAGGTGGGGCTGAGATGTGTATGACTTGAGGTGCGGAGGGGGGTAGGAGAGGTGACAATGCATGTGTATATTATAGGGTCGGCTGACTTGTGGGGGGGGGGGGGGGGCTGAAGCTCTAAAAGCCTCCCTCCTGAACACGCCACTGTGTGTGAGCAAATATGACGCCAACTTGTGCAGATGCCCAAGTCTGGGTGAAGCATCCAAAGGAAGGGTGATATAAGCCTGCGCTAATAGATGTTGTTGCTCCAATAAATTTTATAAAATAAACTTTGCCACATTATTTTCCTGGTTGTTAATAATTCCGGAAGTCAGAGTTTTATTTCATGGTAGTATCAGCGACTGTTCAATTATGATGCGAAAACATAGAACACAACGGATCAGTTCTGTATTGCTTCGATTGTTCACAATCTCCGAGGCGGATGGACGGACGTCTATAGCTGAACTCCTTGAATAAAGCGGCGGCTGGCACCACCTAGTCGGCGTTTTAGAGCGCAGCTCTTAGGAGCCAGTTTCGGCGTTGAGCGGTGTCGGCGTCGCCGTCGGCTTAACCGCGCGCGTTGCATTATGGGACGTTACAGTTTCCCCGCTAAATTTAGCGGGGAGGATGTGGGAGGAGGCGAGGGTACAGAGGAGGAGAGGAGGGTATGGAAAAGGAGGGGAGGATACGGAGGAGGGGAGGGTACGAGGGAGGTACAAAACACGGAGGAGGTGGAGGGTGTAGAACCAGTATGTGAGGAGAGTGATCTATATTGGTGTATATATATATATATTTTTTTTTTCTTTCTCAATTTGTTTAGTACGGTATATATCAAAATCAAAATACCTCAAGAGCTGCGCTTTAATTTCGCATTACAGAGATGTGTAAACGTATTTCATTTTTATTTTAAACATTATATAAAATCTTGGTATAGCCTCTTAATAGTACCAATATTAAAAATTCCTATCCTTGTGAAGACGTGCCTCTTCGCAACATGGTGTGCCTACCTTTAATCATACGGATTGCCAAGAGAATAAGAAAAATTAATCCTTCTCTCGATTTTTGCCACCAGTCAAAAATATATTTTTTTTTTGCGGGAGCGTGGAACTCGGTACCATCTGTTGTTATTCCGGCACCACCTGTCTTCCCCACAGAAAGAGCTGAAGATGCTTGTCCGTCAAGGCATCCCGGCACCGTGCAGACGCCAGGTCTGGAGGGCCCTCTCCCGCTGTCGGGTGGCAGACATCATTGAGGACAAAGGGAGGAACTACTACAGGAACCTGTGCTGCAGGGCGCCTGAGTCAGAGGTGCGCTGCTTTCGGCTTTCTTGGCTACTTTCAGCCTGCGTCACCTTCATTTTCGCACGGCAGACATTCTTTCAATAGTATTCATTGTTGCACACAAGCTGGTTCAACCTGAAAAACAGTTTGAAAAGCTGTTTTCTAGCTAGATAGTTTGAAATTTCGTTTTCTAGCTAGATTTGAACTATATTGTAGTATGTATCATGTGAGAGAAATATCGATGTGAGTGATAAGCTTCAACCTTGTGAAAAGACGTAGCATCTAGCTGATGTCGTTTGTATATCGCCTGCTGGAAGTCTCGTTTCTAAGGCAAATCACTCCTTGTACGTTTTTTCTGCTACTAGGTTGGGCACTATAAGTTCTTTGCAATGATTTATTTATCTTATCAGATATGCTCGTAACAGACTTTTTTTTATACTCGACTGTAGCAATCTTTTGACAGACAGAAGCATTATGATGATTGTAACAAGATATGCTGTTATATTATTTTTCCCACTGGTAGGTGGTCTCCCAAAACAAGCGACAGATCTCTCTCGACTTGCTGCGAACGTTGCCACAAAATGTCCGCTTCAGCAGCCCCGAAGCAGATGGGGTAAGCACATCTACCTACCCATGCTGTGGGGGTGTCAGTTCTTTTCCTTTTTTGTTGTGACTTGAAAGATTCGGATTTTACGTCAACCACCTTTCTTTTCTTGTGTACTTACCCTGATTTTAGATTAGGAAGCTGCAAGAGGTCCTGCAGGCCTTCTGCTTACACAACCCAGGTCTGGGCTACTGCCAGGGGATGAACTTCTTGGTTGGAATGTGCCTGCTCTTCATGGAACCTGAAGATGCCTTCTGGTCAGTGCAGCTTGACTTTGTTCTCCAGGTTTAGTAAAGATAGATGCATGTTGGACCTACAATAAACACAATCTATTTTTCTATATGGGGCAGGTATGTTGTTTTGTGCTTTTTAGCGTCCCCAATGGACCACTTTAGAGCAGCATTGTCAAGCTGTCGTCGTTTCAGAGCGTAAGCTCAGCTTGTGCCCCCTCTATCGTCTTTGTGTAAAAGAAAAAAAAAAGAAAAGTTTATTGATTGGTGTATTGATCAAGCAACGATAATTTCGGCAAACATGTTTGAATATCAGTCAGACGGGAGCTGGCTTCTAGTAATCGGTTGGAGAAGAATGATGATAGAGTGATTCTACTATCGGGACTCCAACAGTGTTCAATTAATCCCCGTTCCTTTGCTTTACATTTTTGCCGCAAGGCCGTGGAAGTTTTCGCTGCTTATTTCAAAAAGTGCAATCTCTCCGTTTCTAAAAGTCAGTTTTTGCCGCTGGGTGGCGTCCACTGCTCTAGAGCAGTGAATACTGGTAGGGGAAGTTGAAAGATTATCAGTTTGTGTGAACAAGCTTAAGAAGATATTTTTAAAGGACTAGTTGAAAGAGTATGAATTTGTGTGAACAAGCTTAACACAGTTTTTTTAGATAGGAATAGATCAGTTCATCTAGTGAAGCTGCCAATGAGGGGCCAGCTTTTTTTCTTTTTACCATTGATAAAATTTTTCACTGCTCCACGTTGCAGCCGTATAATGCCCTCAAACTTAATTTAGGGCAGAGATGTGCAAACTGGAGCATGGAGGGCAATGTTCATAAATCAAAATCCTTTATTGCAATGGTTCCCATCTGCTTTTTGCTGGCATTAATAATTGCAAAAAGTTAGGTTAAAAACACTCACCATTCAATATTTCTTGGTAGAATAGAGACTGTATCATCTGTTGCCAAATAATTTATCATTTGTGGTCTACTTGTAGTACACACACATACTTCATTGCAGTCTGTCAGCAGAATGATTGTACTTAAATTCTAAGAGCGACCAACAGCTTCTATTAGATATAGATCCTGAGGTTATTTAGCAGGTTGTTTCGCATACTTTACTCGAAAGCTGCTTCTTTTTCCTCTGACCATTTGGGGTACACAGTTTCGAACAGTAGAAGATAGATGCATGTACGGAGAAAGAAAGGGTAAAACGTCGCATACCACTTAAGAACTAGTGTACGAACAATTAATTGCATAAACAACGGCATATATTTGTTTTCCCAACAAAGAAAGGCAACATAAAAGTTCATTTTTTTTATATTTTGGTGAAGAGGTGTTTTCAAGAAACCTGTTTCACGCATGTGGAAGACCACAGACATCAGATGTTGAAGACCACAGATACAACAGACATGTTTAACAAGGAGTATCTCTTCAAACCTATCTTTAATTTCATATAAAGGACATTTGCCCATGTGCTTGTCCTGGATGGTGTGCTTTTCCTAACGTAATACCACACTGCGGGATAACAACAGTGTCAATGATGCATTTTAACCTATTTTGTCAGTCGTGCTTGACTTCAAATTAGAGAAAGCGTGCTGACGACGCTACTACCTTTTTTAAGTTTTTATATCAGACATTTTTTTTAATTTTTTTCCAACCTCTCTCTTTTTGCCATACCAAATAACCGCGCTTTCCTGCGATGCTTAATTACGTGGCAGAGAAGCCTGTGCATGCTTGCTAATATCATGCTGCTCTTTCCTCTATGCAGATGTCTTTGCTGATTCCAAACATTCTACAGACCTTGATTTATTTGAAAATTGCATTACTGTAAAACCTCCCAAATCCCTCTCTCCCCTCCCCCTCTCACAAGTATTCTTGACCAGTCACTATTTGCGGCGCCAGAGATTGAATCCATCCCTGCCAGTTTCGATTTTAGCTACTTTTCACGAGGAACAAGTCTGAATGCGGGCTTGACGGGGCTCGTTGAACATAATAGTCCAAATACTGTGGCATGTAAAGAGGGCAAACCATAAACTCAAATGTGCACTGAACATTAGTGTCCCTAAGTTGTTAGCTGTGTGCAATATGAAGATGGGGTGACCTCACTTTGCATAAACATCTCCTCTGTAAAGTGAATGACATTGTTTGCATTTAGAATGATCTAATGCATTTTGTTTCCTACGAAGTCTCCTGTTTGCTGGCAAACCAATCGTCGCTCCATGTACGCAGGTGCCTGGTGGCCATCACGGAGCGCTACTTCACGCCCAACTATTTCGACCACAGCCTGGTGGGAGCGCAGGCCGACCAGGAAGTGCTCAAGAGCATGCTGCGGGATAAGCTCCCGCGCCTGCAGCGCCACTTGTCTCAGCTGGACATCGAGCTGTGCACCGTCACCCTCAACTGGTTCCTGGCCATCTTCTTCGACTCCGTCCCCTTTGAGGCAAGTGGTCCCTGAAGGGACGCCACGGTGGGCCTAGTGTAGAACGGGAGCAAAAGACCTCCTGCAAAGCGTATGGCGTCGTTCACGGCGCCGAAGGGAATGCCGGGAGCGCTAGCTACAGCCGGTTCTAGCAGACTACAGAGGAGACCTTGGAGGCGATGACAAGCGAGCCAGGGAAGGCGAACGACTCCAGTACCCTCTCGCTCTCTTCAGCATCACGTGGTAAATGCTGGGGTGTCAAGGAGTGTGCAGGATTTTCCGTGCAGCGTTTTAAGGTTTTTGCTAAACGTGTATCGGTGATCGTTAAGACTCGTGAATGTCACTTACCGAGCTGTGTCGGGAAAGCTCAGGCGATACTGTTCTGCTTTGTTGTAGGCTGTTTTAATAATTTTGGAGGACAAAAGCCCGTTTCCCATGATTTCTGCTAAAGGTTCAGAAACCTGACAACAATTAATTTGGAGCACCAAGATGGCTAAAGTGCCGTTAAGTCTAAAATGTATCTTAGGTATTTAGTGCCTCTAGCGTGAGCTGTGAGTAAACAAAATTATCATGTGCTTATGAATAGCAATTTTGATGGTGTGTAATGACTGGCAGAAGTCCAGTTTTCACATGTGTTCAATATAGTGACACAGCAATGGTGGCCAGTGAATACACTCTTTAGCATAGTGAAACCAGTTTGTCCAAAACAAAACGTTTACTAGCAGGACAGCAGTATATTTTTGTTTATGTCATCACCTCATCTTCAATTAAAATTCGCCAAAGATGTGCTGCATAAATTGTGTCCTAAGGATAAGTTTCAGTCTTTAGATGATAAATGAATGCTCCCTCTATTTATAACTATCTTTTCTTTTTTTACTAATGAAGGTAAAAAGAAATGGTGGACACTGCAGTAGGCTGTTCGGTTCTTAACTATTACCAGCTCAGGGAGCTGCAGTAACAAGGTCATCTAAAATGTTCCAAAGAAAGCTTTCATAAATGTTTCCCAGAGTTACAGATATGAGAAAACTGATAATATACACACTGAAAGTAAGGCGTATTACTCTGTTTTTAAAAGAAAGACATTCCGAGACTTGAAATTGCTTGACTGGGCCACTTCAGAAACAGACACAAATCTGCAAGGCGACAAGCTCAAGTGGTTTGTCTAGGAAAAATGAACAGTCACTGACTACTTGTTCCAATGCTATTTTAATGTATGTACAAGCAAAAACTGACACTTCTTGCACACATCACATTTCCTACACTCTGAATGCCTGGGCTGGTTTGGACACAGCCATGCAGCACATGTAGCTACCCATGCCACATTCAGAGCATGCAGCTATGTTTTTCCTAAATCTCTTTTGCTTAGTTATATTAAAACCTCTGGCGGGAATTCTCTCTACTATCTGTATCGGCCCCCGAAGACAAACGCACGCTTTGTGCATCCGCCAAGCGCCGTGCAAATTGACTAGCAAATGGCTTGTCAGATTATTAATGAGGAACATGACATTGTGCAATGACTCATAATATGCATATGAAAACAACGTGTTTACACCTCTCTCTTTCTCTAAAAAAAAAAGCAACCATCAGAAACATATTTTAGAGCGATGACAAAGGCTGAACTCTGAAGTGCAACTAGAGAAACAACGAAAAGCACAATGCATTGCCTTGTAGACTAAATGAAGGAAACCCTGCTAACATAGTAGAAGCACGTGTGCATGTTTCATCTCATACTTTGATTTCAGGGGCATCAGTAGTCCACTTTTATATTGTGCCACTTTGGAACAAAGCAAAAATTAAATAAAGTAATACCGAACCTCCTTTCTTGAAGCCGAGTCGCAGGAACTTTTCGGTTTTCTTATGGCGGGGAGGTCGGGGCGGTGCACCTGAGATAATTCCTGCTCGCACAGAAAAGTTTGCTGCTGCTCAAAACCTTTGCAGAAACTACAGCGAATCCCGTGAGAAACTACACATTGCTGGACACACTCGTAGACTGCTTCATGTAGACCTATGCTCGTTTCTTCATCAGAGGCGTGACTATCTAATGCACCATGATTGATATACCATCTACTCGTTTGCTAAGCATGACCAGAAACACAGCAGTATCATAAACACAGTACAAACAGAAGCATGTGTCCGATAAGACAAGGGGGCAGCCCGTGACTGTCCATGGCAAGTTGACGCCAAATTCACAACTTGATCGGCACAAAAAAAAAAAAAAAAAAAAACTGTGTGAACAGAGCGAGCACAGTCCGTCAAAGTTTGCTGAGCGTTCACCTCAGTCTTGGTCCCTGATTCGTGCACTTCGTCACCTCGAGAGTTCTGTCATGGCACTTTATGGCACTGGCGATTTCTGCTGACTCATTCCACGATCCTCGTGCGGTGGCGAGGAGGTGGGCTTGCGTATGTACATTCATTCTTCTTTATTAAATTAAAACCTTTTTTACCTACACACGTGGGGTAGCGTGTGGAGGGGAAGCTCAGGCGGCCTTGCCTCTTGTCCACCGCTTCCTCTTCGTCCGCGCCGGCCGCACCTTCATCTCGACCCTGGACAGCTGGACCCACTCGAGAGCGTCCATGTCGTACCATGTCAGGCCCACGTTGTACTTGCCGTTGATGTTCACGTACTGGCAGTGGTTGTACCACCAGCCAGACGAGTAGTACATGGCGCAGTGCGTCGAGCTGAAGTCGTTGTCCCGGTCGGCCGTGCTGAACGCCATCCCGGAGTGGTACTCGAGCGCGTTGCTGGCATTGCCGTGGTACCCGTACACCTCCAGCCGGTACCGCTCTGCCTCGGAGGCAACTCGGAAGCGGTTGTACTCGACGAACTTGTAGCGGCCCGCCGTGTCCCAGAGGTCGACGCGGAGCGAGTAGTTTGCCGAAGAGGTCAGGTCGTGGAGGGCCTGGTTGCCCAGCCAGTGCTCGGCGCCGGGACTGCCGAAGCCTCGCCGATAGTCGGCCCAGGTGCGGTAGAAGTCTTCGGAGCCGTCGCGGCGACGCTGCACCAGGGTCCAACCGCCCCCCTCGGTGTCCATGTCGCAGAAGACCTTGAGGGCTGTGGCGGATTGGCGCGGGTGGATGAGGTAGACGCCGCTGCGGGAGGAGTCCTTCACCGCTGAGCAGTCTGAAATGAAGCGGGGTCGTGAATAAAACATACGATATGTTTTTAATGCAGTAAGCGACTTGATATGCGCAGGCAAATTAAAACCTCAACCCCGAAACATTTATCACTCAAGTATATTGCAGATACGTGAACCCACTGAAATTGAAAATTTATCTACGAAAAATATTCAAAGAGCCAACACGTTTAACGGGCCCATTTAAACTTGTGCATTAATTGGTGTAGAAACTTTCTCACCACTGCGCTGAAAATGTAGTTTTCTGCGTGGTCGTCCAATATGCCTTAAAATTTAACAAGGTTTTAGGGTTAAAAAAACCACCGTAAGTTTTTTTTTTTTTTTTTCAGAAACAAAAATGAACAAAAAAAAAAGTATGTGAAAAAGTTAGATTGAAATATCGGTCTACGGATTAGCCTTCTGAACTGTTCTTTTAAAAATAGAAACTTACCTGTAATCATTTCTAAAAACGTGAACCTATCGAAGTAAGCAAGATTTTCGAGCTCATCGAGTTAACGGGGGTGTTTTTCCGCGTCAGCTGTTGCTCCTAGCACGCCGGTGCGAAGCAGTGAAAAACGGTCTCTCGCGGCCCGCGCGGCCTGAACGATGATGAATTTAAAACACCGTGCGAAACGGAACTAGCAGAACCAATGGAACTGAGCACAACAGGAGGGCGCCCGTAGGAAAAATAGATGGAAAGATAAATTGGTCATTGTAAAACTAAGTTCCAAGGTCACGGCAGCTCAAGCGACGAGCGCAGCAGAGGAGCAAACAGGTGAAAACTAGGCCGGCCGCAGCCGGGCGGGCTTTTGCGTCGAACGACCGTTTTCGGTCGTAACAAACGGCAAATGAATACACATACCCCTATGGAAGTTTACCAGGACCGGCGGTCATGAACGCGAGAGCCGGGAAAACGTATAAACATGGAGCGTATCAATGAGAATATATTTATGGTCCCTCAATGGAGTACTCAAAACTTGGTATTTTTAGTTTTCATTTACTCCTTGTTTTGAGAATGAAACTTTACTTTGACATACATCATCTGGAAAGCGTAGTCTCAAGAAATATTATTGCACATTAACGGTAGGAACTAACATATGCTCAAAGTGCGCTTCGATACTCACCCTGAGGGAGGTTGTCCTCCAACTTCCCCATCTCCGCCTCGAGCCGTGTGAGGTTGCTCCTGAGTCGGGGCACCTGGTCGGTCACGTTGCGGATGGCCTTGGCCAAGTCCTCCTGCTGCCTCTTCCACTCGTCCAGCACCTCCCGGTTCACAACCTTGTCCAGCGACCTGGCGAGGCGCGTCAACTTCCCGCTGTTTCTGTGCAGCATCTTGGAGAGCCTAGTGCTGCCCACTTCCAGGTTGGCGATCTTCACCTCCTGGGACACCCAGTGGTTCCCGGCCTTGCGTCCGGAAACGGTCGCATTCAGAACCAGGTTTTCTAGAGCGAGGATCTTGTAGCGGTTTTTCTCGAGCTCGGCCCGAGCGCGCAGGACATCTGCCCTGAGGGTGCCCAAGGAGTCGCGCCTGGCGACCTCGTCTCGCTGCGCGCCTTTGGCGAGGGACAGCGCCCGTGCGACGTCGAACTCCGACTTGGAGACCTCCTTGCGGAGGTCGGACAGCCCCCGGTCCACTTTCTTCTCGAGCGTTCGGATGTCCCGGAAGAGTTCAACGGTGGACGCGTGGACCTTGTCCACGCTCTGGACGGAGTTGGCGACATTACGGATCGTCTCGCTCTGGGCGTGGACCTGCTCGCGGAGGCTGCGCAGTTGGGCGTCGAGGTCGCCCGTTGTGAACGGAGCGATGGCGTCCGCGCTGCGCTGCATGTTGGACACGATTGCTGCTAGGTGGGTGTCGTTGTGACGCATGAGGGTGACGTCCTTGGACAGCTTGTCCTGGTTGTGAGAGAGCGCCTGGACTGTGTCCTCGAGTTGGGAAACTATGCGACGGAGGCCGTGCTGCTCATGGCGGTGGTCGCGAATCTCGGGGTCTGCAGTTTGAGATATAAAAAACGTCAATTAAAGAAGGATATCTTTAGAGCGAGGATCGTCGCACTATGGTTCGAGTTCTTACTGTCCTAAAGACTAGAATGCGTTCAGTAACGTCATTCTGGTAATCATTTTCAATTCTACTAAAGAACAAGAATAAAATGAAAACAAAACGAGAGCAGGCATGTACAACAGCATAGATGTCCGTTCTCCTTCTTACAAGTACATTCGCAATACGCCGAAACAGTTGCAAGTAACCGTCTCGGAACTTTATCTGAAAGATTTGAATAAATATTTCCCGCCCTATTCTAGTCGGCTTTTACCTGTGACCTCTGCACTCCAGCTAATAAAGAATGTCGAAACAGGTGCGAGTTTAAGACCCTTTTCCCAGCCACAAGGTGGACGTTTGGGCTAATTGGTACACGGTGGGTCATGGTGAATAACGAAGGGCAGGAACGAAGAAGCGGCACAAACAACGGCACACACCGCACTGATGGGTCGTCTTTGTGTCCCTGCCGAGTCCCTGTACCTTTGCAGTCGTATTCGCAGTGATCTTTCTTGAGTATCAGGCTACACCAGGCTATGCCTCTCCATGCGGAGAAGCTGTCCTCCAGGTAACGTTTTCGAAAATGGATGCACCGTCGGGCAGAGTATCGCTCGTTTTCCCCCATTATACTCGCAAAGACACGGAAGACAACGTTTTATGCTTTATATGACGTGGAGGCTACATCTATTGGAGTTTTGATCGAAAGGGCAGCGGTTGAAAGAGTCTCACCTGTGCGTGGTTGATCTTCGGTGTCTCCTAACCCAGAGCCCTCAAACTCGAGATCCACGTCGTCATGTCGCTTTGTCTGCACGTTAAAAATATAAAAAAAGAATGATTAGGGGTGAACAGGTACTCGCGTTAATAGTTTTACACTGGCGTCACACGAGGTGCCTGAAAATAATGTTGGGTAAATTTAAAGTTCAGCAGTTGGTGAACAATCATATTTCGTGCGCAAAGTGTTTGCTAATTTTATTCACTCGAGGAGAGACTAGATATAGGAGGAAATTTGGCTAAATTATGGTTACCCTTTTTTATTATTTATAATTATGGGAAGTTATTACTTTCTCTCTTTTTTTTCGATCGCGTTTGGCGGATGGTATGTTTACCTTCTCTTTGTTCTTTCTTTGCTTCACTTGCTGGTTCCGGAAGTCCTCCGTGAGCTCGGACAACTGCACAAACAAAACAAAAAATATTAAAGAAACACACCCAAAACCGTTTTTCATCGGCAATAACTCGTTGCATTAAGTTGTCTAGGTTTCAAGATACGCTTCGCGCTTCTTGAGGGAAAAGCTTTTATTACATGATTTATTCATCCCATGACACGATCGGACAACACGTTCGTCACAACTAAAACGATGAGGGAAATGATTTTTTTTTCCATCTATGACAGTGGATGTCCCTTTTGATGGTACGGTGAACGAAAAAAGTGTAACGAGATAGCACAGCTTTTCAAATTGATCCCACTCATTCAGGACCCCGATATCAATAAAATTGTATACGGCCGGCAAGTTCGCCTGCACTTTGCGCACCCCACCACCCCATGCGTTTGTTTGCACTCGGATCTCAACCCCACGCGCTTGGCTGCTTCCTCATCGCTCGTTCTTTACGCGCTCTTTATAGTATTGCCCTTTGATTGGCGTGGCCTTCCTTGCGTTTCGATGCGCAAAAGACGCCTTTTGAAACACTTGCTTTCTGCAAATAAATCTACCGCTTCGCAAAAATCCTAAATAAATTAAGAGCAAAAAAAAAAAGGTATGTTATTCTAGAAATCTGAGTTGAGAGCGGACTTGTGTAGTTTTTGTCGCGTTCAGTTATCGCGCTTATCTTGGACGTAAACCGCATTTATATTGAAAAAAAAAAAAAAAAAATACGCGCAGCGCTTGCCGCCGTGCATGCGCCGATCATCTCTTCCGCCTGTTGTTTGTCCAGAGCGTCGCGACGTCGTTGACGACATCCCCGAGCCAGCTTAGCGGCGAGCAAGGCTCATCTGACCCCGCTGATGACGCCACTTTTGCTAGTTCTTCCCTCGCGCTTTCCAACCCTCGACGCGTCGCAACGGGCTGGTCTACGTCCAATATTTGATTGTCTATTACTGCGCTCCTACTAATAAAGATCGAAATAAAACTTAAGAGAACTAATTTGTAAGGTGCCTACATAACGACTTTTACTGTTTGTTCGAAATAAAGGACCTCTTCAGCCTCCATGTAAGTTGTCAATTCCTCTAATTGTATGCCTGCTTTGAGCGGAGAAAGCTTGCCCCGGAGGCCGAAAGGATTATTGATACAGAATAAAACAATCACAGAGAAAACGCTTTCAGTATATATATATATATATATATATATATATATATAAACAGGGAAAATGTTTTTCCTAGTAGCAGGCGTGGCTCATCCCATTCCCATCGTCCCTGTGAAACCTGAGAGGAGTGTTACCGAACACCGGGACGCTGTCGCGAGACGCGTTTTTTGTCGCGCGCCTGTTTGCCTTTGTCCCCGCGTGGCCTGCCCTCGTAATCGTTTTCCCATGAAGACAAAGAACCTCTGTCGCGGCAGCCGTTGGCAAACAGCGAAACATCCGAGCCCACCGCAGAAACTTGCTCCCCCGCGAACTCGGCGGCGGGAACAATTCCCCCCGCTTGCCCTTCGACACCCAAGCTCACGGATGAAACCCGACGCCGCTGACGCACCCAATCACCGCGCGAGTTGTTTAGTCTGACGCGATGGGTTCCCAGCCGTCACTGGATCTCGCCTCTCCTGTCTTCTTTCTTTTCTTGGTCGTTCTATCTATCTCCAATTCGGTTCATTGTTTCTTTTTGGCATTGTTAGTACGTGATTAGATTCTCTTCAAATGTGCACTCCGTTTCACTTACTTCAAGTCGGATCACAACCAACGCTATACACTCTAAAAAAAGTCTGTGCGTCTACTTTCACGCACAACACTCGGAGAGCCAATCAGCGCAACTTACGGAGGCAACTCAGCGAATGACGATGCCGAAACATCTGTTTAGACCAAAAAACGCAGACTGAGTTGTAACATTAAGCAATGCAAAACGTCACGCTTGCATTGCTTAATGTCACAACTCAGTTTGCGTTTTTTGATCTAAACAGATCATCGTCATTCGCTGATCTGCCTCCGTAAGTTCCGCTGATTGGCTTTCCCAGTGCTGTGCGTGAAAGTAGACGCACAGACGTTTTTTAGAGTGTGTACTGGGTGGGGAGAAAAATGAATCGAATAACCTTCCTTACTTGGAATTAAAAAAGAAAAATGCTGAAACTAGCGAGCTGTACTCTATTTACAAGCTGTCTTCGGTGGTAGCGAAAGTGCTATAACTACGTCACGCTCTCTACAGAGCAGTGCTCTCGCGTCCGTGCCTAAGTACAAAAGTCGGTATTTTACTGTATAATTCGGACGAGACACTTGGTTTCGCGGCGACGACTCATGTTGGACCAGTTCCAACCTCTTTTTTACGCAAACATCCAGTTCGCATAGAAAAAGAAGAAAAAGAATAGCGTTGTTTTTTTAACGTTTGTTAACGAAAACAATGCAGCGGCCGTGGCCGCGCCGGCATCAGCGCGCCTGAAAGCTAGGAGCGCTCGGATGCTTTAAAGCCAGCTGGAGACACACCGCTGATTTACATCGTGCAAAAGATGCTTTGTTGGCCGCAGACGAGAGGATTATCTGCGGAGACGCCTCACGCATGTTCGAACAGGTCTGCGGACAGTGTGATGGCGGCCTCACGCTAACGCACATGTTGATCCCCCACGACGTCGTTGCATTTTCTCCGCGCCTCAGAGAGGATAGGAACGCGGAGGCCCGCGCTCACACGCACATACGGACGCACGAGGGACCCGTTAGCGAGTTTAACCTCAGGGAGGAATAAACGCCAGTAAAGAAAATAAAATGATAAAAAAAAAAAAAACGCGGAATAAAGAAACGAAGCAAAGTAAACCGTTTTCGGCGGGGAGAAATCTGGCGTGCACGTGTTGTGCTATAATGTGTGGGCTGGCGGCGCGGGAACATCAGTCGAGACCATCTGCTTCCGAAACTGCGCGGAAAACACGCATAGGGTGCGCAAAAAAAAAAAAAAAAAGAACGAAGAGAAAAACGGGATGATCTTTTTAGTCGTTTTGCTTCGCTTTAGAATTGCGCCCTTGGGAGAGAATGAGTATTTTTTTTTTTTTTCTGTTGGTAGTGTTGCATATGCTATAGGATATATTTTTTTTGAGTATGTGTGTGTGGGGGGAGAGGGAGAAAGAGAAACTTCTAAGATTATTACTTAGATTTTTTATCTTTTTACCGCCCTGGAAGCAGACGTTGAAGATGAACGCAATCATTTACCGATGTAATTTTCCGCCGTTACTATATAATTAATTTGTATTTTTTAAATAATTTCTTACCGCTTGTGATTGCCACTGCTGCGACAACTGAACTCGCGATAAGGTGAAGGTGGAGAGTGGAGTCCTACGCCGATCCCCTTCGCTGGTGTGGCACGTAAAATTCCAATACATGATTTTTTGTTTTTGTTTTTTTGATTACCAAAATAAGCCAGCAAGAAGGGCGTCCGCCCGAAACGTCGTTTATACCTCCTTGTCCGCGTATTTTTTCGAGAAGCACCGCTATATATATTACTTGCGATTACGTATTTGCCCACACCAGGTGTGGTCAACGCGCGTGCTCAGAAACCAGAATCGCGTGAAGATAGAGACGTCCGCGCCGACATCAGCGCCCCCTTACCGGCGTGATGTGGAGGCCGCGCGTTGGTGCATACCCCGACCTTCTGAGTGACTACGCGACTGCGTCACTGGCAAGACAGGGAATTAAGAGGAAACGACAGGAAAGAAAAGAAACAAAATATTATTTTTGGAGGAAGACAACTATAAACGTACACGGAGGGAATAAGATAAAAACAGCCACCCGTACGGCGCGTCGTCAGTGTGATTTATAGCGGTAGCTGCACTGCGGGGTCGCATTTGTTATGTGCCCCCCGTCATGGAAACAAAGCAGAGAAAGCGCATCTTATCTCGCAAACTACACTTCAGCCTCCTTCTCTTTACCCACTTATTGGGGCCACTGGAGAGGGAGAGAAAAAAAAAAGGAATAAAAATGAACGACATCCAACGCCGAAAGAAGAGCAGAGACGAAGAGGAGCAAGTTTGTTTCCGCACCCGAGTGCTCTTCGTCTCGCTACACCCTGTCCATCCCTAAGCTGACAGTGCGGCGGAAGCTACGTGCTCGTTGGACCGTTCCTAGGTCTGTCCTCCGTCACGTGATCACGCTACCGCCCATGCACTTGTGCGTAGAGTGGGGTTAGGTGATGAAAGGCAGGCAGCTGATTAGCCGGGCAAGCGCCGTAGCTTTTACCGCACTGTCAGCTCGGGGCAGGGATGAACGAAGGAGGCGGAGTGCTTCTAACTGCGAGCTTTTACAGCGCCGTTCATTTCGGATATGCTTCCTGCGAATATGTGCTTGGTTTGTGGAGCGGATGGTGTTAAGCATAGCGGCGCGATTTTTCACGCGGAGAAGCGATTTGTTTGAGGCGATAGAGCACTCTAATTTATCTTGAACGTACTTTCGTGCTGGCCTCGAACAGCGTAAACAGAATAAACGGCGAACTGCTTTCTTTTAACAGTACTATTTTAAGATTTTTTAACATAAAGAAACCTGTTTTTTTTTTTTTTTTTTTAAAGTATAGAGACATTGTCTTTATAATGGTGGGAGTGTCTCGGCAATATCTGAAGAATTGCCGAAGTCAGTTCACCGTATGTCTATCCCTATTTTAGTCGATTAAATCTACGTGGAAATAAATTTGTAACGTAACGATTAATGTAATCAATAAATTTCTGAGCACAAGCTGGTCCGACGTCTATAGCTCCCCTTCTGAACCTCCTACCCTAAAAGAAAGTGCTAGAACAGATTTCGAATCGAAGCGAGACGTGGTCCGCTGTAGTTATCGACAAACAGCGCGGCTTGGTTTCTATAAACTTACTGTTTTGATTTGGCCGCCATTTCGTGCGCACTTTTGCGCCAACATTCGCAATGCCTAGAGGAGAGCAACAGCAGCAGCGACAACAACAACACCAACAACAACAGCATCCACAACAACAAATGTTCTTTACGCGAAAAATCGAGGACGCACGTTCCTTTTCGGCGTGAGTTTTTGTCTGACTCG